CAGATGTCTTGTGTGTATGTGCTGGCTCACCGCTGGCGCAAAGGTCGCCGGATCGAATCCCGTTCGCGGCGGCCCAATTTCGATAGAGGAGAAAAGCTATAGAGGCTCGTGTACTACAATATTTAGCTGCACCTTAAAATTTTACATAGTAAAAACTTTCGGAGCCATCCACTAAAGTGTTTCCCCTAATCATATCATGGGACCCAAAACCCCGACAATTTATTACTATTATTATTATTATTGTTGTTGCTTTTATTATTATTATTATTATTATTAGTAGTAGTAGTAGTAGTAGTAGTAGTAGTAGTAGTAGTAGTAGTAGTAGTAGTAGTAGTAATGCCACAATGCACAACAGCGCAGTTCTTAGCATAAGGGTGCAAAGTCGGCGAAATTGATTCGTTATATGTCGTTTTCCACGTTCTATACCGATGCACCTGATTTGCTCTTTGTCTACTCATGCGTAGTCCAAAACAGAACATGAAGATTTACAGACTACATTTGCGATGGCAATCTCTGACCTTTCCATCTGAGATGTGATTTTCAGTTCACCTGTTTTATGGGCGAAGCTCCTTAAAGCGGCACCCGTGCGTCCCTCGTCGTAGGGCGTAACCAGTCTTACGTTTTGACCTGCAAGGTGGTGCTGGTCGTAGATTTGTCGTGTGCGTTGTTGAACAATAAAAAATTCGCAGCGTGCGAGTTAACTAAAAGCCGAATTCTCATGTCTCTCATTGCCCATTAGCAGCCATTGGCATGTACATTGAGCACTATCTGACAAGAAAGGGTTGCTACGCTATACTCGCTGGGCGTAACGTCCTTGGTTTTAGAAAGGCTTAGCCAGCGTTGGGCGGCAGTGCCATGAATACAGTGAACTAGTATCTACCATGAACTCGAGGTGGTTAAAGGTGGGAAGTAGACACGAAGCGCAAGCCGTAAGAAAGTGTGTGGGTGCCACCTATCGTTTAGTCCTTATTATGTCCGCTGGATGGTGGTGCTTCTATATGGGGAATATATGATAAAAAGATGCGAGATGGTGGTACTTGGAGTGTTGACTAGATGGACGAACGAACACACACAGATGCATGGACGGACGCATGGACGGACGCAGGGGCGGATGCATGGACGAACGCAGGGACGGGAGCACGGATGGACGTGTGGACGCACGAACAGACGCACGCACGGCCGGGTGGATGGATGCACAGACGGTCACACAGACGGACGCATGGAGGGACGGATGCTTCGCTCCACTCTCCATCATTCACCCCGTGGATATGCTGCCTTTTCTCTTTTTGGCTATTTTCAAATGTTCTGCTTACGCTTCTCAGCATATTCTTCGTAGTTCATTATACAAATCAACATTACAACTTAAGCAACATAAATGCGTATCCAGCCGACTGCATTCACAAGTATATACTCGTGGCACGTACAACGGAATCAAGGGACGTACTACAGCGAACCTACGTGTATACATTATGGCCTTTCCTTTTCTTTCTATGCAAAAGTCATTCATGTAAACATCTCGAAATGAACGTCATTTCGTTTCTAGTAGAAGCTTAGTGTGTGTGAGTGTTGTGGCTGTGGCGACAGCTTTACGCAATAGATCGTGCTTTGTCACCCCCAAAGGGAATGGGCCGTGTACGTCGATCGTTCGGAAGTTAACTGCCGCAACATTGAACGCAATTTGTCGTGAATGCACCCTGTGACTCGTATTTACTCTGCGGCTACATTGACGGTGATCGCATTGAAATAGTTATCATGCGCATACTTTCGAACAACGCAGCTTACGAAGTGACTATACTTCTTTCGTAAGTATAAAGTTAGATATCGAATGCGTTTTGCTGCTTGTAAAAGTGAAAGAAGAAACGCGCTAAGGAATCGTATAGAATCAGATTATATATTTCCTTCAGAACACACTATCCTATAGTGACACCCAGTTGATGTGAACAAGCTGTAATGAGCAAAAAGGCGCGCCTAATCATATATACGTATCGGTTCTCTCAGTGAGGTCTATCAATGGGCAGGGGGCGTAGCCAGAAATTTTTTTAGACCTCTTTGAGTTGGTGTGAAACCCGGGTTGGCAGATGTGGTCAGTGTCATTTTGGGCTCTTATGCTTTGGCGGAAAAAATTCTAGAGGCGAGGGGTTGGGCCCCGTGTTCTACCCCCTGCCTACGCCACCGCCAGCGGACTTCCCAAGGGGAGCCACGTGGCCACGGCTGGGAAATTCACATTTTGATTAGCCGGGCGTGATCGGCAGCAGCCGCTCGCGCCGTATCTTGTCAGGGGGTCAGCGTACGGCTCATACCTTTGTACGCATGTGTCCCACCGGAAAGCTCGCGTTCAAGGGTGGCCTATTTTTCCCATACGCCAGCGTTTCGTTTCCGTTGCACCAGGTGGCATGGTAAAATAGTTATCTGCTATCATTACTTCGCTAAAAAATATTTCCATTCCAAGGTCCATGTACTTATAGTTGCACGTTAAGCAAAGTCAGGTGGTCAAAATTTCTGGAGCACTCCACAACCGCTTACCGTGACTTCAAGACACAAAAGATCAGTGGCCATTGCTGAAATAATTATGTAGACAAGGGCAGCAGTTGCACTGCTGTGTAGGCACATGGACTGAGTTCGACTTCTCGCATGTACAAGAATGCAGCCACCTCTTTCCACGAACAGCGTCTTCGTATGTCTTAACATCTTCTAACTGCAGCGAACTGCTCAAGACTCTGTCCCTTGCTCAAGTGGCAACACTGATGTCTCGTCGTGCATCAGATCCACAGCACTTGGGTAAATCGGATAAACCTTTTTTTTTCTTGTTTTTCTTGTTTTGGGACTTGCTCTCTGGATTTCGTGCCGACCGGTTGTGCCCCCGTGATCTTCAACGACAGCGCAGCTCTGGCCGACTGGCTCGCCCTACGCCATCTCCTGCCGCTGACAAGAGCTCTCACTGAGCGGTGCCCGTCCTCCAGCGACCATGTCCGTCTTTCCCATCTCCTCCTTACTTCCGCCGTTTTCTGTCGTTCGCTGTCCCTTTGCCTCGCTCTCTCCTTCCCTCTCTCTATCTCTCTACCTTTATTCCTATCCTTTTAATCGCTCTTTACCCCCATCCCTCGTGAACTACTGTTCAGGTGTCGCACTCTGATGTAGATAGTTACGGGGCTCACTTTTCTCTTCTGTTCTCTTTAAGAATCACATGAGTGTCTTGTTTTCAGATGGACGCACATGCGCTCACGCGCATCAGCCGATGTTCCCAGAATTTCTAATAATTTACGCGAGCTTCTTCTTTGCTCAGTGACCGTAGCATCATGGGTTAATACCACACTTTACGTCGTATGATTCGATTCAGAGTCCAACTCAACACGTATTCGTCAAAGGCACGCGTCTTACCATTCATTTCGCACACGCACCTCCGCAGTAGCCGTGTTTACTGCGCATGTCACGAAGTGCGTCTGCCGTTTGCGTCTGCCGTTTGCGTCTGCCGTTTGCGTCTGCGCTATCGGTGCTGTTTTTCCTTATTAGGACCTAGAGTATCTGCCCTGTGGTAATTGTTCATTCTAGAGAAGCTTGTTCGTGATGTTTTTTTTCTTTTGGGTGACTAAGAATGATACCATAGCGGTGACTCAGCTAAAGTGCATCAGAGAAGAAAATTCTTTAGGTTGACTTCTTTCCTTCAACGAACCTTAATGAAAGCAGCAGACAATGAAGTCGAGGAAAAGATACGCGACGTTAATTTTATTGCAAGTATAAGGTAGCGATTCTGATATATGTGTTAAGATTGTGCAAGTGTTCTACACTCGCCACCATCGCTACGAGCGACGCTAGCAATGCCAGGTTAGCACGCACATAAATATCCGATAATGTGAACGAGAGGACTACAGCCGCCGTAGCTCAATCAGGAAGAGCATCGGGCGCGTAATTCAAAGGTTACAGGTTCGGTCGCTGCCGACGGCAAATTGTATTTTCGCCCACTTTAGTTTTCTCACGTCACAATTACTTGAACACACGTAAAACAGTACAAATAACGTCCCCTATATCTTGCTTTGCTTCCTTAAGGTCCTGACGAAGTGGGGTCACACCGACGAAGGCTAGCCCAGCAGCCGAAACGCTTGACAGTGTATTCGATATCCCCTGCCTACGCCATGTTCTTGCCTGGTAGATAAGCGATTCCACACCGGGGTCTTGAATCGCTGCTCAAAAACAACGAAACCCCGACATCGCAATGCTCAGTGGAGCAAAAAGTCATTGCGAAGTGGCTTAGGAATGAAAAAGGAAAAAAAAAGGTGCCGCTCTGTAACTGTCTCTCTCTCTCAGGGGAGGTGCACCTCAACAGCGCGGCATAGGAGATGGAAAACGGGAATGAAAGATGGGGAAGTAAAAATAAGACTTCCCCTGCCCCTTCACAGATTGGAAGTTTTCTTGTTAGGTTTGCTTCAGTAGTGCGCACTTCGTGCCAAGACACAGGCGGTGGAGTTTCAAACCTAATGCCCCTTCACAAACCTTGGCACTGTTTTTTTTGTACTGAATACGTATGATGAAAAACTAAACAAAACGCGATAATAAATCGCTCCTATACCTGCCGTGATGCTCGAAGCTATATATTTTCGAAACACACTCGCCGTATGCTTTTAATAAGTATGCCCGCGAACTCTGTATTCGCATACTCAATGTTTAGACGTGTATATTCCGCTCCGCCGTGTACGAGACCACGTTTTAGCGTATCGATCAACTTCAGACGTGGCTCTTTGTTTGACACCGTATGCATTCCGATCGGCGCACCGACCCATCCTGGATCAGCTTAAGACGTCACCTCATTTTTTTTTCGTTTATGAAACAATTGTAACGAGCTCATGAAGCTCGGTAAGTGCTCGTCAGCGTCGGTGTGCCCTTTAAGAGAACCCCCGGTATCACTCTGCTCGCACGTGTGATCAGGCCGTTCAGGTAAACAGACCCTACGCTCTCTACGTATATATAAAGCCGGTATTCCAAGAACTGCAAGGCGTTCCCTGTCTCGTTCATTTTAACAAGCTCTTTGTCGGCCTTGTGCAAGTTGTGATTTTCTTCTGTTCGCGTTTTTTGCGCTTAGTATTGTGACCCAACCGGCAAAGAAGCCACCGAAGTGGGCCATTGCAGAGCGCTGTAAGCGGAGCGCACGGCGTTATCCATGGGTTCCTGGAGGTGAGACGTTCAGTATATGCGGCGCGTACGGACGGACATCTGTGTTGCTCGAGTTCGAAATTTAAAGTAACACAGATAACGGCGTTGGCTCCCACATTCGGCCGCTTGAGTCGGCTTTACCTGTATCTTTTCTGACCGGAAAGCCGTGGGTTCGAATCCCACAGACAGACAGCCTTTTCATGCACTCTAACTCATTTCAATGTATTTCATACTTGTAAATCACTACAGAAAACACCAAATACCGCCCCCCCCCCCAAGTCCTTAATGACATGTTTGTTGAAGTCATTTGATTATGTCCCCTTAGTGTAGTCACTCACAATACTTTGGTATAGCTTCCCAGTTTTAATTGCTCGAGAAACACCCTTTCACACAGTTATATATAAAAAATTATGAACATGGGGTGTCGCTGCAGTCAACGTTTCGGCAAGCTGTCTTGCCTTCAAGGCAGTGATGTTCCGTACTACGCCAAATCATTCCCGTTCAGAGACGTGAAAATTCCTTATTTCTAGGATTTTCGCTGCAAACGTTGAGGAAATAGCCATTATATTTTCCTGCGCAACTGTACTAATTTTCGCCCCCATCCACACGCACACACATACTATAATTACACGTGTCTGACGTGCAGGCGACTTTTGAAATCATTACTAGCCCCTCTACCGCTGCACAACAAAAGCATGACATTAATCATTCATATACTATTAGAGCACACTGCACGCTGCGGGCTTCAAGTCTAACACGAATAGTGAACTAGAAATTGCTTCGCGTAAATATCAAACAAATATCAAGGGCCCTGCTTGCGTGGTGCATGCGCCAGAACCGATTACAGCAAATCAAGGCAGGCTGTGACCGTGAATAATTGGTCGTCATAGGAGAATTGAACCATTTTTGAAATTCCCTTCAATATCAGCATGATTCCCTTTTTCCCTTTGGCTCAAAATGACTGGCGAAAATTCCCTGAAAAATTCCCGCACGGAACATCACTGGCAAGGCAGCAGCCTTCACAAGTCAGCTTGACGAAATGTCGGCTCCGGCGACCTGAATATTTTTATTTCTTCACATTCCATCTTAACTTCTGCCTGTCCTGAAAGTCTGCTGTTGTCGATGTTCTAGAAGCGACGAGGAAAAATGAAATATCAGGGGGGAAATGTATAGCCAGTTAGACTGCACAGTCTACAGCCGGGAATTGAACACACTACCTCGCGCTGAAGACAGAGGCATCGCACAGGGTTTGTAAGTGCGATGGTGGTAGTGAAACATTATTGCCCCCCCAAAAAAAAGGGTACAAGAAAAAAATTTACTCAGTGAAGGGCATGGGTACAGCCCCTACTTTTAACGGAGGGTGGGAGGGGGTTCAACCATACTGTACGTTCGTGCGTGCGTTTGTATATGGTCATATATACTGAAAAATTTTTAGGAGAGTTGTGGTTTGAACCCCGACAAATCCCCCCCCCCCCCCGACTACGCCCATGGTGGAGTCCGAAATGGTTACGGAAAATCTACCCACATTCAGATGATGTGCTGTGGGTCTATACGGATATTTAACCGACCTCCTTTGCTTTATAGCTGTGAAGTTACGAAGACGCCCCGCGTATTCAACTGCAGGGCGTTGCTATGTGGAACCAACGCAGAAACGATTTGCTGTGTTCACTTCCGAAAGAGTGACGCTTCTCAACTTTATCTCGAGTAGTCGGTGAAAAAATAAGTAGGCATGGCCAGTATTCAGAGCACACACAAGCGAAGCAAATGTTGCGAAGGCCGGCCAGTTGTGACTAATTGTGGCGTTATACTTACATGTGTGCTATACATACTACGACGTACGGCTTCGTTTGTCCGCTAAGTCACTTTTGGCAACCTAAATTTTAGTGATATTTCTATTGCTTAAGCTGTACAATACCGCAAATTATAGAGGTGAATGCAACGGTTAAGTGTAATTAAGCGTAAACAATATCGTCAAATTCGGTAGTTCTTCAGGTGCACAAATGCTTACGATGTTGGCAAGCAAACAATGGTCGCGTTGTCTTACTTTAATCTGTTTGCAATCACCTGCAACACCAAGTTCACTCCACCGAGCTTCTTCACCGAAGTGACGCGTAGTCGACTCTGAATTCGCGGATTCGCTTATCTCTGCGAGTCTCGCGTGGCCGGCCGTGGTTCAGTGGCTTTTCGGCGAAGAGCCATGGCGTGTTTTCCTACGGGGGAGGCCGTGGCAAGCTGTTCAATCAAACGAGTTCGTTCTAGATTTTTATTTTTTTTCACTCAGTGACGCTAAATATTTTCCCTGAAATCTGTGAAGAACACCAATAATTTTGTTTTGTAAGCGAGCATACGAAATCTGCACTTTCTTTGCGAGAAGCCCAAACGCATAATGTTTTACTTGTCTTCGAATCTCAAATGAATGAGAATTTTTCTTTTAGTTTTTTCTACTTGATGCAATTAGTCGCAAGGTGTACATGCCGAGTTTATGTCATGTCAAGTGTGGCACAGCCAGGAGATGGCACTTTGGGACCGTGCCCCCCCCCCCCCCCCCGCCCCTCCATTTTTTTTTTTTTTTGGTATGGTATACAGAGCAAAAAATGACCATATTAAGAGAGTGCACCCTGCAACCCCCCCATCCCCCCCCCAAAAAAAATTTCTTCCTACGCCTTTGGTCATGTCAAGCATATCAAGTATACAACAGAGCCGTATTTCGCTTTATTTACCAAGGAACAGGCGTCGTTAAATGAATCCGTCTTACACTGGCTTTTTGCGGTATTGAAACGGAAAACATATTGGCATCGAACACATTACATATAGCCCACCTGCGACGAGATGAGGGCTCCAACTGTGCCCGCGTGCACAAAACCTGTCATGTACAGCCGTTAGCAACCTAACAGGGAAAACTGTTGGCACCATATTAAAGGCCATAGCAGCTAAACGCAGTTAGCAAGCGAAAAATGTACGTAATACTGAATGCACAGGCGTAAATACATCTTGCGATGAAATACGTTACAGCCATGTCGGTACATCACAATTGATTGTTGACTACAAATCAATTCGTTCCCACTTATCTTTCTCACGACTGTACGTGCGTTTACCACTAATAATTTCAGTACTTAACCGTCTCACAGTTTGTTTAGTTGTTGCAAATCTATTTCTACTTCAAAACATCGCCCATATGTAATATCGATACAGAAAATGAAAACATCTTCATTTTCAAATCCCATGCTCTGACCCGGTATTCTCCGCACACATAATATATGTGCCCTGCATCATTGTCATATGACCTTATACATATTGGAATTCTTACAACGTTTATACGATGCGTCGTATATGACGTTCTCGTCTCCTGTCTTGTAAACTTTTCAGCTCTGCTTATAATACACTGAGATGTTCCAACTTGCCCTAACAGTTCTTAAACCAGATCACCACGTGCGCACGCATTTGTATGAGACGTGCTGGATATGATTTAGCGGGTCATATGGATTTTTCAGTGAGAGCTCCCAGCACCTTTTTAAAATTACTTAGGGGAGACAAAATGCTTTAGGCCTGTGTAAACTAAGATTCAGGTGCACAATAAATGACACTAGATGGACAAAATTTCGGGAGCCCTCCACTACGGCGTCTCTCACACTCGTATTCTGAATTTTGTACTCAGAAACCCCATCAATTACTGGTATTTCTGTATTCATATAAGAGATGTCCCTGGTGATAGACAACAACGCACCGACTCTCTTGACTCGATATGTCTGTGAGATTAATAAAGTGGATTTTAAACAGCGCCAGCTGTCATGAGCTCACTTTGGCGGTTTTATCTTGGTCTCTCTGGACGAAGACGCTCTGTAGAGGAGTTCAATCTCTAAAGGGGGCACACTGGCAGATATACGTGTTGCGCATACGTGTTGCGTCACATCGCGTCTTATCGCACCAGCTGCCCACGCGTACCGATTGCCTAACTAACGGGTGCCTCAAAGGAGCTCACTCTTTGCAAATCGATGTGCCACATTAACCACAAACAGCCGCGGGCTGTGCATTTGACGCGCAAGCAGTGATACGCGTGGGTGCAGACGTTGCAGTTCCGCCGTTTTGCACTCCAGGAGGATTCAACATTATTTAAATGGGTGGCGCGTTCCTGAGGGTTGGTCCTCGTGGGCAGCGACCCTCTCGGCCTAAGCAGTAACAGGTACCGTCCGCTGACCAGAGGGAGCAGCATTACTGGCCCTAGTAAGGTCCCTAGATGAAGCAAGTTTCATCACGAGACCTTAGGCACTAGCCCAACCTAAATTCACTGGCGTTGGCCGTTAGGGGTACGCAGAAAACAGACGCGTTCACGCGTCCATCCCTGCTGTAATCCGCCCGCTCATGCGAGCAAGGAGACGCGGTCATTGCATTCCATTTTGACTGACCCCAACCTATTATTGTGTTTTTTTTTTTCGCTAGGCATTGCGTTCTGACGCTGCAGTCAGATTGAAAAAAAAAAATGGCAGCATATCCACGGAGTGAATGATAAAGAGTGTGGCGAAGCATTCATCCGTCCATTCGTTCTTGCTTCCGTCCGTCTATGCGTCCGTCTGTGTCACCGTCCATGCGTCCATCCGCCCGTCCGTGTGCGTCTGTTCGTGCGTCCGTCCCTGCGTTCGTTCATGCATCCACCCCTGCGTCCATTCATGCGTTCATCCATGCATCTGTCTGTGTGTCCGTTCGTCCATCTATTCAACACTCCAAGTACCACCATATCGCATCTGTTCATCATATATTCCCCATATAGAAGCACCGCCATCCAGCGGACATTCCAAGGACTGAACGAGAGGTGGCACACGCACACTTTCTTACGGCTTGCGCTTGGGGTCTACTTCCCACATTTAACCACCTCGAGTTCATGGTATATACTATTTCACTGTATTCTAAGCACTGCGACTCAACACTCGCTAAACCTTTCTAAAACCAAGGAGGTTACGCCCAGCGAGTATATCGTAGCAACCCTTTCTTGTCAGATAGTGCTCAATATACATGCCAACGGCTGC